CAGCCACATCAATGTTCATAGCAGCTCAATTCACAATAGCTAAGCTATAGAACCAATTTTGGTGCCCTTCATCAATGAATGGATAAATATAATCTGGTACATATACCCAATGGGAGATTACTCAGCCTTAAAGAAGAATGAAACTATGCCATTTGTCAGTAAATGGATGGAACTGGAGACTCTTATACTAAATAAGCCAGTCCCAAAAAACCAAAGGCCAGATGTTCTCTCTGATATGCCATTGCTGACTCACAACAGGTGTGGGGGGTGAGGAAAGAAGTGGAGGTTCACTTATTTGGACTGGAGAACAGTGGGAAGGGAGCAGGGATGAGAATGGGAAAGACTATAGAATGAATCGGACATAAATTTCCTATGTTCATGTATGAATACATGACCATTGCTCCACATCATGTACAACCACAAGAATGGGAAGTTACTCCACATATGTATATGTCAAAATACACTCCACTGTCATGTATAACTAAAAAAGAACAAATAAAAATATACCAAAAATCATGCTATATGCTTATACAAATATATGACAGGAAACTTCACCTTTATGCATGGATAGAAAGACCCAATCAAATATAAATGAATAGACAAGCCAAAGGAAACCTAGTAGAGTAGAGGAAAGAATGGAGGAGATGGAGGACAGGAGGGAAAAGGGTGGGTTATCATGAACAGAACTGAAGTATATACACCCATGAGTTTGTTAGGATGAACCCAACTACTATAAATAACTATAAAGCTCTAATTTTAAAAAGTAATGTACACTTAAAATTTTGTTAAGAGGGTAGATTTCATGTTAAAAGTCCTTATCATGATAAACAAAATCAAACACATTAAAAGGAGTGGTAAGAGCAAAGGGGGAGAGAGAGAGAAGACCCTAGGAGGAACCTGGGTCTCTGGTGTAAGCTGCTGGAAGCATGTGGATATCGTTAACTGAACTAGGGAGTACATTTGGGAGGTAAGAAAGTAAATTTAATTTCAGATATGTGTGGGAGGAAGCTGCACTGGGCACTGGTTTGCAAAAGCATCTTCCCAAACCTCTAACTATAGTGCTTGGATCTCTATATTACTTATTCGTTTGACTTTGTTTTTCCAGAATTCTACTTTTAAAATGCTCCTGAGATTATTGATGCTTTCATTATATATGATAATAGCACTGTGATTTTGTAGAGAAAAAAATCCTTAAATGTTAAAAATACATGCCAAGGTATTTAATGCATAAATGAAACATTGTCAGGTTAGCTTTCAACTAACCCAGAAAAAAAAAAAAAAAACTGAAGTGTACATGTGTAGAGATATAAAAAAATAATATTGGCAAAATATTTAAAATCATAAAAACTGAGAACTAAAAGTACGTGTTCATTACCATTCCCTGTACTTTCGAGGATTTGAAGATTCCCACAATAAAAAAAAAAAAGTGCTCCTTATTTTGGAATTTTATTAACTCAATGGAAACTACAAGAAAAAGAGCTAGATATGTGTTGCTTGTATAGATGCTTTCCCTCTACAGACTTCACAAAGTTTTATTTAAAAATTAAAAACAGAAAAAAAATGTAAGTTAAAGAATTATTTTGAAAATACTCTTAAAAGTAGACACTGTAGATATCAGGGCAATATAAAGAACTTCCAATATAATGTAGAAGTTGAAAGCACTTAAATAATAATTCAAAAAATAAAGGAGTGAAAAGATACTACAAGGAAGCATAAAGTTTATAAAAGAAGTTAAAAATGGAAATTTAACATGCAACTTACATCAATAAATAGAAACCAGTTGAACAACTCAGTTTGATTTAATATTTATTAAGTACATAAGTGTTTCAGGTTCCACTAGGTTTTGAGAAATTAATAAAAATACATAAACAAAGAACCTCAGCTCATAAAATTTAGTCTAGTATAGAAGACCATAAATGAGTAAATGCAAAAAAAAGTGATGCATATTACTAGAAAAAAAAATTTAAGATGAATACAATACATGTTTTCTAAACAGTTTGCAGATGGCCTTGAACACATTATCACATGTATCATTTTTTTCTTTGTTATCACAAATCAAGTTTATACCAGTACACATATTTAATACTGAAATATTATAAACTATTTTAACATACTCAATAAGAAAAAGATGATCACGTCAAAGCACCATGTTTATATAAGTCCTTACTAAGATAAAATATACAAATAGCAACTCAGTATTAATCTTATGGGGAAATGCAGACCAATGAAACTGTTATTTCAGAACATTTTTTTTAAATGAAGAGTTTCAATAGCATTAACTCAACATCAGTATTTTAAGGTACTCAGTCAATTCCAAAGACAAGGTCAAATAATAAGGATAAAGTACTGAACCAAAGTTTTCAGTCTAGTAAGTGAAAACAGATAATGGTTGCAATATAATATGATTAAGAACTGTACAATAAGTGAACATAGGTTTATGACAATAGGAAGGTCAAGTAATACCTTTGTAAGCAAACCAGAAAAGCAGCTTCCCAGAATATGACAAGATGAGCCAGGGTAAATATGCAAAAATAGGAAGATCTTCCTGTATGGCAGAATTGTTGGTTTAAAACGTAGGAGAGACATTGTAAAATCTGTGTATTGTAAAAAAAAAAAAAAATCAGTCTGGCTGAAGCACCAGGAGATTGGAGAAGGGTAAGAAACAGTGTTGACAGGTGATCATACTTCAGTCATAAAGGGAATCTTGGAATTTATCCAGAAAACCAGGATTATAAGCAGTGGATTAACATCAAATTTATGTCTCAGAAATATATTCAAAAGGAAAAAATGCTTAATTGCTTGCTTACAAGGTATTTCTATAATCAGATGACAAATGCCTGTGATCACAACTAGGAGAGTAACAATGGGGATGAAGAGGAAGGTTGGATTACAATAATAATAAAGCTATGGAATTCATGGACTTGGAGAGGGGCAGGCAATGAAACAAAGAGTCACCCCTGACACTACAGTGGATAGAGGGACATCCACTATAATAAGAAATGAATAAGGCAAATGACTGCAGAGGTAAAGACATAAATGGTAAAAAGTAAAACTTATGAATTCTGCCTTGGCCATGTTGAGTTTGAGATACTACAGTGTGTTCCAACTGGAAATGTTGAGTATGTGTCCTAATGATCAGAAAAGATATGGGGTGGACAAGGAGGATGGAGTCATTGGTATAAATAAGAACACTCTAATTCTATATCCTAGGGACAGAGATGATCACTTAAGATGAGTGTAACAATAACTTCCTTCTCTTCCCACTATCCAGAGGAACAAAAGTATTTTTAAACAAACTTTTATTAACCCATTTGGCTGTATAAATAGAGGTGATCATAAGGTGACTTAAGGCTCCATAACTGAAATATTGTCATAAACATCATGAAGTAGGCTTATTTGTACTTGCTATTTCTAATTCTGGTTTGCTAAATTTGCATAACTTATTAGATCTCAGTGTGTGTGATATTGAGATAGAATAATATTTTTCTAGGAATACAAGACAGAAAGGGTTCCTCTCTATATTTTTTTCACCCATTGAACATGATCAGAATTTTCTTTAGAGATAGGGAAACAATGAGCATAAATTGACTTGAGAATACTGTCATTATTATATCTTGTAAGGAAGGAGGATAATGAATTAGACACTGTCAAAAGCCACATGGATGATGTATTTTTGTTATTTGGCAAACTATGGTAAATTTATTTAATAAAAATTATATAGTAGCCACTATGAGGCAGACAGTTAAAAATACAGGATTTTGTTTTTAACTTCTAGGAGATCATAGTCTATTATTTAGCTAGCAAGTACACTTAAAATAGTTCTCCTTACATAGGTACATCATCAGCTAAAATACACAGTCATAGTTACTTTTTACTGAGAAAATTAATAAGCATGATAGGAAATCAAACATTAATCTCAAAGAACTAAGAGATCATTGCTTTCAAAGAGACAGAAAGTTAAATTTAATCAGGATTTTTTGTTTGGATGCTTTGGAAAAATTTGAGCAGTGCATTTGATCCCTTTGTCGCTTTTCTGATGGTGGGATTCCTCACAGACTTTGTTTTGGGAGGTGGTGACTGACTTTTATTTGATCTTTCAGGAAGTGGTTGGTGATCTTTATTGCATATAAACTCAAGCCAGGAGACCCCTGGAGGCAACCGGTGGTAGCTAAGGACCTTGGTGACTACACAGCCTGAGAGGGCAGATGGAGCAGAGTCTTTTAAAGAAGGGAGTAAGGAGGGTAAGGCAAAAGAGGAAGAGGAAGAGGATGGAGAAGAGGAGGCAGAGGAGGAGGAGGAAGAGGAGAAGGAAGAAGTAGAAGGGTTTGGGTTCTCAGATTGTAGCAGAGAACTACTGTTTTTTTTAACATAAAGTAGCCAGTCAATAGCTTGGGGCTGCTGACTTGTGACTTTCTTCTCAGGGCATGTCAACCACGTTTTCTTCATATTGAGCCCTTGGATGATATTTGATTCAGAAGAGGGTAAAATATGTGATATCTTCTTCATTTCTTCAGTACTGTCATCAGAGACTTCATCAGGCTGATTTTCTTTCAGAGGTAATGAAACACAAGAATTCTCTGGCAGGCAGAGGATGAGAACTAATTTCACCTTTATTTTCCCCTCAAAATTGGCCTCAGGTGCTGGTATGGCAAAAAGTGTTGCAGAGCGAGGATCTCTCTTTCCTGAAATATGTCTACATTGAGACTTTATGCAGGAAGCACAAACCAAACAAACCGTATACATTGTTGAAAGGCGGGGACCAGGCCGAGGATTTGGCTTTCCCCTCATTCTTCGAAAAAGAATTTGCCTAGAGAGATCCTTCTGGATTCTGGTCTTGGAGATAGAATTCACGATCTTATTTAACACTTGCTCAGGGACTGTTCCACCTTTAACAATGCAGGGATTACTACAATCTAAAGTCCAGGGAATTTCTTTATCTGATTCTTTCTTTGTACTAAAACTGAAGCTGCTTTTACTGGATAGTCTGGAACTTACTGTAGATATGTTCCTGAGGCCATGTTTGGTGCTTGATGGTGATATGCCTATGACATTTGGTTTCAAATGATGGGATGATGGTAGTTCTGTGGCTTTGTATTTGTCACTTTGTGAAGTGCCATTCTGAGACTTGGAGTGACAAACTGGTGTGCTGAAGGTCTGAAAGTTGCGGTCAAAGGTAAATACCGTCTGAGACTTGGACTGAAACAATGGAAAACTCTGAGACTGGTGGAAAGAATGTGGATGCCTTAATTTTAAATGGGACAAAGGTAAACTCAGAGGATTGGAACTGAAGTTCAATACAGATGTTTTCTGAGATCTGGAAGTAGGTAATGGTGAACTCAGAGTCATTTGCTTTGACTGAAAAAAAGGTGATGTCGGAAGGTAGTTAAGTGTTTCAGATTTGGTTTTGAGTGATGGTGAGCTCAATGATCTTTGATTTCGTTCCATTAAAGATGTCCAAAGGCAGTCCAATGAAGTTGTTTTCTGAGATTTTGATTGAAGTGATGTTGAGCCAAGGCATCTTTGGTTTAGTCCTAAAGAAGGTGATGTATAGATGATTTTTAGGGAAGGTGCTTCTTGGTGTTGGAGAGCAGAAAATGATGAAATTGGGACTCTTTGATTAGACTTCAGGGAAGGTGATGTACAGCAAATGTCTAGGCTTGAAGATGAAGGTTTGGAGAGGGGTAATTTTGAGCTTAAGGCTGTTTGATTGGCCTCCAGTGATGATGCTGTCTTGTTGAAGTCAGATGAAGATATAGTCGCAGGTTTGGGATGCAACAAAGGTAAATTTATGTCTGTTGAAATGGGATGCGATGATCTGCGATAGAGGTCTGGTGAAGGTGTGCCTGGATATTTAGAGTCAGATAATGATGACTTCATAGCCCTGATAGGGAAGCTCTGTGAAAGTGTCACTTTAGATTTGGGCACTTGAGAAGGCAATATTGAGCAGCTTTGGACCATCTTGTTAGAGCTTAACGAAGGTGCTACAATGTTTTTGCTATGGGATTGTACTTTGACCACAGGTTGGTTTTTATGTTGATTTAGTTTTTCAGCAATGAACTTTTGTCTTAATGAATGGGCTTTGGTCTGTTGGTAAGACTGGCCTAATGGCACAAAATTTTGATCATAACATGCTAATGGCAACATCTTGTACGGTGGTGGTGTTCTTTTTAAAACCAGTTCCTATGTATGGGGATGTTTTAGTAGCTGTTAGAGTCTTTTAAGCCAGATCCCATTGGCAATGGACATTTTTAAATAAATACTATTTAGTAGTTTCTAACTTCTATCTTGCCACCTCTCTGTTAATTGCCAAAATTCATAGGATGATTCAAGATTAAGGTATAGATGAGATTGGGCAGGAGAAGTCAACATTGGAAATGATCCTTGGTCTTCTCTTCAATTTCCAAGAGTGTTTTTCCTCTTGAAGAAATAGTCCCTGTTAACAAAATAGTGAAGAGAGTTCAGAAGAAATCCTGATAGGTAATTAATTTTCTTTAAAAACTGTGTTGTGACTAGAGCACATTCTTTAGAGCAAATCCCTGTCACTAACTGTGTCTGTGTTTAATATCACAGTGTATCTTAGTGTATCTTTTAAATTAAACTATCTAAATCCCAACTGACCATTTGTAAATAGGTAAATATAACATTTAATTTATTAATCTAAAAACTAAATGAGATAATGCATATAAGATATCCAACTGTGCCCTGGATATAATAAGCATTCAATAAAATGTAGCAGCTATTACAGGATGCTCTTTTAATTATTGCATTCATTCAAAATATCTTGATAATTTTCTTGGGTAAAACAAGAGAATCTTAGAGAAAGGTGAACTAGAAGTTCAGAATGTTGTTTTTCAATTTAGATTCATTTGCCAACCGTACTCCCCTTTTAGCCTACTTCCCAGAGTCTGCACATCTGGTTGAAAGTTCATTGCATGTTCTCAAACTTGTTTCATTTGTCACAGTGGCACTTAAAACCCTTGGCTACACCCTTTTAAATCTATGGATGTCCATTATTTCCCTCAACTCTGAACCTCTACTTTTTCTCCAGGCCTTTGCAGGATTCTTTTCTTTTGCTCTTACCTTAATATAGCTTTCAGAGTTAATATCTGTAATACCAATTTTCTTGTTATTACATTCTAACATAATTACCCCAGTTATGTTTTGGATTTTAAAATGAACTATTTAAGCTTCATAATATGAATTTTGAAGCTGACTAAAAGTGATGGGAGCATCTACCACTCAAGGAAAGTTGACATGCTGCTTCCTTCATAAAGGTAATACCTAGTGTGACATGATACACTGCTTTATTTTTCCTGGTCAAAAGTTTCTTCTTCAGGTTTAAAACTAAGATATATGTTATGATAAAGAAAAGAAATTATTGAGGACTGGGGTTGTAGCTCATGGGTGGAACACCTGCCTGGCATGTGAGAGGCACTGGGCTGGATCCTCAGCACCACATTAAAAGTAAATCAATAAAATAAAAGTATTGTGTCCATCTACTACTAAAACAAAAAAAAATATTTTAAAAACTGGGAGTAATTTCAATAATTACTGGAATCAGTCAATTAAGTGCTTGGTCTAAAGGCATCTAACAATGAGAGCTGTCAGAAGATGGTTGGTTGCATGATTCTCTCTAGGCTTCTATGGCTTACCAACCCTATTTCTTTTTTCTTTCATTCTTCTATCTGAAATTCAATTTCCTGTTTTTCACTCTACTTTTTTATGTTATTTGAATTTTATTTTATTTTTAATTGGCATATAAAATCTTATTTATGGAATACAGTGCAATCATACTATACAAGTATATACAATGTATAATGATCAAATCAGGGTAATTATCATTTCCATTACCCCACATGTTGTCTATGTGCTGACAGATGTAAAACTTTTCTTCTGTCACTATTATGAAATACATAAGTTGATATAAAGTATAGCCAACCTTCTGTGATATTAAACATGAGATATAATTCCTCCTAACTAACTGTAGTTGGTAATCTTTATCTAACCTCTATCTTTTTCCTTAGCCTTAGTGAGTTTCTTATATATATCAACTTATTTCTTATATATGTCAACTTATTGTAAAAATTTAGAATCAATTCTATTATTGCTAGAAGTTTTCCCTTTGTCCAGGTGATTTCAAATATTTACTCTCACTCTGTTGCATTCATCTAAAAACATACTTTATTAGTATTTTAGCTCACTTGTTTTTAAACCTTGAGTCATTTTTTGAAGAATTCTTCAAGTACCAAAAATATTAGTTATGTATCAATAACTTTCTAATCTTTTATCCATAGTCCTATTTTCTCTTGAGCTTCAAAATTGTATTTCCAACTAATCATCAGACTTCTCCATCAAAAGTTTCAAAGATAATTCAAACACAAAACAACAAAAGCTCAATGAAGTTAATTATCTTTTCAGAAAATCTTTCTACATCTTATCTCTTGGTTCTTAATCCTTATTGACATAATTCGTAATCTTTGAAATAATTCAGACAGTTTCACTTTTCAAAGCCATTGAAATGCCAAGGGTGAATTTTTCCTCTTTCATAGTTTAATTTATTATTTTTTCCAATTTCACTATTTCAGTTTGTACTATAGGTACATCACATCTAGACTAACATATTATTACAGAAACTACCATAATCTTTCCCCCATGAACTCACTATCTCTTTTCCCATTGTCATTTCAAGATATCCAGGAGCAAACTTGCTGGTGAGACACCACTATAACTTGTTCAGGGATGTCCCTTGCTTTGCATATGCCTGCAGGAGTAATAAACACAGAGTTCTCTCATGATTGCTGAATTTGGTGTGGTGCGATTTAATACATGATATATTAAAGAGGAGAATGCACACATCACAAGATGTTGCATAACACCAAGATTCCAGATAATATAGAACAACTTCATGACTTTGGGGCATGAAAGATTTCTTACAGGAAATAATAAAAAAAGATACCCATTCAAAAATGATCAATTAAACTAAGAACGCCTAACCATCAAAAACATGATATTTAGAAAGAGTAAATGCAGGGACTCGGGTTGTGACTCAGTGGCAGAGTGTTTGCCTCCTGTGTGTGGGGCCCTAGATTCGATCCTCAATACCACATATACAGACGAAATTGGGCGCATTCAGGGTAGTATGGCCGTAGACAGTAACACATATACAAATAAACAAATAAAGTATTGTGCCCATCTATGACTAAAAATATATATTTTAAAAAAGAATAAATTCAAATCACAGAATGTATAAGAATATCCGTAATACATGTTATGGATTAGATATGAGGTGTCACTCAAAAGCTCATGTGTAAGATAATGCAAGAAAGCTTTAATGTGAAATGATTAGGTGGTGAGAGCCTTAACTTAATCAATGCATTAATCCCCTGATAGGGATTAACTGAATGATGACTATGGACTGGAAGGGTGTGGCTGGAGGAGGTGTGTCATTGGGGCCTGCCTTTGGGGTGTATATTTGGTGAGTTGAGCATAGTCTTTCAATCTGCATTTTGGTGGCCATGTTCTGACCTGCTTTCCTCCACCACACACTTGTGCTATAATGTTCTGCTTCACCTCAAGCCTCAAGGAATGGTACTGGATAGGTAAGGCCTGAGAACTCTGAAACTGTGAGCCCCCAAGTAAACTTTTCTCCTATAATTGTTCTTGTCAAGCTTTTGGTCACAACAGTTGAAAAGTTAATTAACAACATATATCTAACAAAAGACTCATTCATAGCCATGAAAATCTCTGCATGTTACTAAGAAAATAAGACAAAGAGTGCAAATAGAAAGATGAGCAAAGCACATGAACAACCATTTCACAAAGGAAGCCCAAATGGCTAACACATATATGAGAAAAAAAAAAGTTCAGACTCATTAGAAATCATGTTTAAACACATTACCAGAATGTGTCTAACATAAGGTGAAAATTGAAAAGAACCAATACTCAGTGAAAATATATATTAAATAGAATTCTCATATACTGTTGGTAAAATTGTTAATTGATACAACCATTTTAAAAATTTCTTAGCTTTATCCATTAACTTTATTGATATTATTACTAATACTAATAAGAGATAGAGACAGAGAATAATTCCACTCCTGCATATAACAGACACATAATGCATAAATATTTGCACCAAAATACATGTACTGGCATGTTCTTCGCAGCATTATGCATAATAGCTCCAAACTAGAATCAACTGTTTGATTCCAAACAATACTGAAAAATAACAGAAAATTCAGCACCATGAAAATACATGGATGAACCTCACATAGAAAATGTTGTGTGAAAAGAATCACATTAAAAGAACACTTCAAGATTTTATGCATGAAAGTACACAGTTGGGTCATACTGACTATGGTACAAATGATCAGGATAATAACACATTTGGCAGGGTAGAGGTTGAGGGAACAAAAGGGTTTCCAGAATGGTGTAATGTTCTGTGTCTGGCCCTGGTTGATGACTGGATGGATGAATTCACTTTGTGATAATTGAGCTCTAACACTTAGACTATGTGTGTTTTTGTGGGTTCCCTTACTTCAATAAAAAGTCTAAAAAATGTACAACTTGATAATAATTTGAAAAGACATCTGAAACAAAATTGCACTGAAAGGTGAAACATTAAAGGATGAACCAAGATCTGGCACACAGATGCAATGAAATCTTAAAGAGAGAAAAGGAGAAGAATGTAGTCTGAAAATCCTGGTATCATATGGATGGAAATAAAGGAATTCAAAACAACTGGAACTAACAAGAGTCTATTTAAGATAAAAACCAGAGAAACATAGCATTTGAGTGATTCCCACTATCAGACGTACTCAGCAAATGACACACTTTGCTAGAAGCATATAAGGATTCCAGAAAACTAAAGAAAGTAGAAATCTATAGTGAGTTATAACTATAGAATCAAATTAATGTCACTATGAAAGAACTAACTTAAATATTTTTTAATGCCAAGATCTTTTTATAGTGGAGGTGGATAGATATTTATGTTTTATGAACTTCTTCAGGATAGGATAAGTGAGGAAAATTTCTCAATTTGTTCTAGAATACATTGTATGAAAATCATATACGAACACAGGATGAATATAATTTAAAATTAAAGGTTAAACAATACAGTAGTATTGCTTATTTAATCTTCAGAC